TTCTGTATTATTGCATATTTTTGTATTTCGCAAAATGAATTACATGAGGCTTAATGGCGAAACTTGGGTGACATAATTAATTTATGCACTTCAACTATTAATGTTATTATATAATTATAAGTAGTGACTAATAGAAAGGGATGCATATTCCATCAAAGAATGAAATCTTTTTCATAAGAACATCGCGTACACAGCCAACGTTTTTAATATCAACCTTCTATCTCACTGCGATGATCTTTTCCTTACTAAGAATGTTGAAAAAATATAATCGGAAAGTCTATTCTTACGTACACGGTTCAAAATGGAAACGACATCTTCGTATGCCTTTGATCTTTCGTACAATAGAACGTACAAATCCGTAGTTCCCAGATCTTCCGAATATCATGAAATATATTGTACAAACATTTTAAAATGTCACCTGACAAAAAGCCTCAGGTTCTCTGAAAATATTTGCTTTAAAAGAGTCGAATTGGTTTGACATTTTGACAGATTTACCAGCTCGCTTGCAATGTTCACTTCAAAAGACATAACAGAGATAGGAAACAGTTTTCTGACGAACACGACAAATATGTATGCTACCAATATCACCATCGCCTATGGCAACAACACAAAAGACGTTTATGTGATGCCAGCCTTCACTATTCTAATTCATTAATACTGCACTAGAATGACGTATGTAGTATAAAAACCCCTACATAATTATAACATACATAATAAATTACCTCTAGTTCATTTTATTGCATTGTCGGACAATACGGGTGACCCGGCAGTACCAAAACCCTTTTACTAGCGGAAGCTATCCCATGCTTTCCATTGTTATGATCTTAAAATTTGCGGTATAACCCAGGGAAGTGGATAAAACCGCGTCATGACATCGGCCTCTTACCGGTCCCCGATCGTTTGACAATGCAATTCCCTTTTGTCAAGCATAGCTCAACTGAATTTTAATTACATCCCTTTGGCCAGTATCGCCTTGCTCCCGCCAATTATGTCTTTATGAATTTGTGTTCTTTGTTCGAAATATTTAAGTTAGGAATTCGAATTCTGTTTTCAAATTTTATTTTCGCCATAAAATTTAGTGGAATGGTTTGAAATGTGGATTGTATTTATTTTTATCTGCATTTTTTAAAAGAGGATTATGTTTTTATTGATGTGATAATAGCGACTGTCTAATAGTTGGTGCAACTACCAACCTCAGAGGTCTGAGTTAAATTTCCCGATTGAGATTAAAAGTTAACTAAAGATGTATGACCGAAATTAACATTTCTAAAAAAAACTTGCATAATATGATAAGTGGTTAATCGATTACGTAGAATCCTTTCATGTTTGTTCGCTAATGAGGAGCGTCTACCGAGAGAATATTAATATATAAGTCGGTAGATAAACAAAAACATCCGCCTGCATAAGTTTGCCCTAAGGTTGCGGAGATGAGATGTCAGTTGCTCTGCTACTTGACAAGTCACGTAGCCGGTTATATGCGGATCTCACCGATCATCGATGTCTTGTTAGTAAAGAAAGTGAGTGAACTATATTTGTAAAATAAGAAATAGTTACTTGAAGGTAATTTTAATAATTCTTTTATAAACTCCGTTTAAAAAGTCGACTTAAATCCCTGTTTTTGAAGTCTTCTCCTAAGTGTAGCAAACACTTTTCTGGAAACCGCATCAAAATCGATACAGCCAATCGCGAGACAATTGTGCACAAACATACAGGTTGACATATTAAACGTTATAGGGGTCACCGGTGACTGACCTTAGCGGAAGATTTGCCTTCAACAGTTTTCTATTGGCAGTCAAAGCCTTAAACTGGGAACCTCTTTTTTTAACTGACTTCTTTTCTTTTTAAAGTCGATAAAAAGGGGTGCTTATTTGATTGTATGATTTTTATACACAGTTAATAGTGATGAGGTACTAATACTTTCTGTTTGTTGTAATGCAGCGATAAACTAATGACGTGCTGTAGAATCATATTGAAAAAAGGAAAGCGCCACCTATTTAATCGTAGCTACAAATCACTCTTACGATGACTACAGAACATGGTATGAACAACCAACCCACGTTTTAGGGTTCATAGAAGTTACATGTCCCTAAAGACTAGGTACTAAAATAAACTTGAGCTAAGCTAGATAGAAATACTAGGATAAAGAGATTTACAAAACAAGTCATTCTAGTCTCATAAGAAGACAAATGTTAAACAATAAGAATGTTCATTGTTCATGTTTTAGTTGTATACGTCATATGTCTCAGTCGGCAGCACAGACCACGCATAAAGCCACTCTTGATGCAAACCATTTGTTATCCTCGTCGCTAAAATATTACCCTGCTACGTATTTTAAGTGGTCCCAAAAAGAGCCTAATCTTAACTTCAGTGTTCACAACGTTTTCAGTCCCTTTGTGAATAACCGTACGGTTAGAAATGTGTGCGTATCGCCATGTTGCGTGACTGCAAAGGACTTATTTTGATTCCCGTATCGTTGAAACTTTTTCTTATTACTGTGGTGATTGATTGTTTGATTTAGAAACACTGAATATTAGGTACATATTACGTATGTAGAGGTAGATGAAGTTTTAAAATATGATTAGAGTCAGGCCCCTATTGCATAAAAATCTTATATCTTATACTTATTACATAAAGCTGATGAGTTTGTTTGTTTGTTTGAACGCGATAATCTCCTAAATGAATGGTCCGATTTGAATAATTATTTTTGTGTTGGATAGTGCATTTATTGAGGAAGGCTATAGGCTATAAACATCATGCTACGATCAATAGGAGCCGAGCAGTGCGAGTGAAACTGCACACGAGCAGCTAGTACTCTATTATAGTACTTTACAGTACAGCATTGAATCAGTACCTAGTAAGTACATATAATGATTTTATGTAATCTTTAGGTAAATAATAAAATTTTTAAACAGAAAAAGGTGTTCGTTTATAGTGTTATAGAAACAAAGAACGATAATAAAATCGTTGTGTGAATAAATACACGCCTTATTTTCCATTTGTGTTAGTAATCTGGCCGTCAAAACCATACCACACGCGACCGCTTGCGTAAGAACAATATTTCTGTTTTGTAACAGGTTTACGTCAGGATATAGTGTTATACATACAATCCTTCTTTATATTATAAATTTGAAAGTGTTTTACTCTTATAATTTGCGAGGAAACCTATAAATTAACTCGTTTTTCATCTGTTACCTACAAATGTAAGCCAAGAAAATATTTAACTTTACAAATTTAGTTTACTTTTTTTCGCTTTTAAAATAATTTTTATAGCTCAATAAATCAAAGAAACGTAGGTATCACCTCCAGTAATTTCAAATATTTAAAGCAACCAACTATTCTACTGGGTATCAGTCAAATCAGTCGCACATGACGATGTGAGTAGGTACTTATTTTCACTTCATCCTACATGATACATTTTAGCTTTATGAATGTAAAAACAACTGAACGCACCCTCTCTCGACCAAGGGCTTTGAGAGAGTTGAACCGAATACAACGATTATAGTACATCTATTTTAAGCTCCAGCCTACAGGCGTACCTAGTAATAAAGTCGACAAAATAATAGGTATAATATTCAGGTAAAAATATACTTACGTCCCTAGTAATAAAGTAGATATTATACAATATAGAGGTGAATATTAAGTGACATGTCAAACGGACATCACGCGAATATTATACTGAGTTTGTGCCTAATAAACGTAGGGATGGGACACTTATGACTGTAATTGTAATTTATTCAAAGAAAGTTTATCATAATTATCGTTTGAAAATCCCTCGTTTTAAAGTGATTCGAGAATAAATACTTTCATTCAAAACACACGTAAATTCCAGGAAATATAAAAAGGCAAAATGAACCTAAATACCTTCTTATGAATTGAAATAGATTTCAAACGTGTGTCAATAGCCAGAGTTAACAGCAAAATACTGTAACCTATTTCATTCCTATCGATAAAAAAGTCTTTATGTTGTGTTATATTTTAGTTTCCATTATTCATAATAACGAGCATAAGTCTACATATTGAAAAATTTCCCTGTCAAAGAAAACACGATGAATACTACTTTGACCTTTTCCCACTATTTATATTTTACCATCTCTAGGTGTTGGCCTTCGATAAATCTTTTCTGAACACACACTTGTGCGGAAATATATCCGTATATATTCGCGTTATACGGCCACTGGCTGAAGAGTCGAATGACGGAGAAAAATATTGTAGTTTTTCATGCAAAGCTGTATATTATATTTTTATAACATCGATATATTTCTATGTGCATTTTCACATCACTACAAAACTTCGCCCAATTTATTCCGACACGTAGTGCTGTAGTTTGAAAGTCAGCTCCGCTAATTAACAACTTTTTGGGTGTCATGCCACATTAAAATATTATAATAACTTAATACTTCTAATGAAATCTGGAAACATTATTAAGTACCAAAACTTAAGTCTATATTATACTACTAAAAAAAGTATTGTAAAAATAAATTGAGTAGTTGGCCGTACTTTGACCTTCTGTATAAATTGATGTCGTATATTTTTTTCGTAGTATAAAACTCATAAAACCATACACCATGGCAGTGACCCATAAAACAGTAAAGGGGAATAGATTTCAACAGTCAATTGGTTGAAAGGTTTTGTTAGAAAAAAAATACATATTTCCTTTTGTGAAACCATTGAGCGTTGAATTCGATCGTGTTACTCGATAAATTATGAAATTGATCATTCGCGTGTCCGTACCTCGAGTTCGGCATTTCGAGCCGGTTATATCCGGTTATGAATAACAGGCATGTGTTGGTGTCAGCTGTGTATCAATATAGTGCCTACTGATAGAAAAATACTATTGATGAAAACTTCAAAAGATCGGATATTGCTTTTCTAGGAAATTCACCAAAGGATTAAACATAGTAACCTCTTCTTAGAAAATGTATACAGGATGATTACGGTACTAAAATAAAACAACTGATAGATAATGAAAAGGGCGCATCTATTTTCGAAGCACGGATAAAATGAAACCCGTGCGAGCTACGATCGGAAGGTTGAAAAATGACGCTTGTCCTGCGGCTGACGACTGGGTGAAGGTCCACTCGCTACTAATTACACTAAGCTCAACGTGTATTTACTTCTGCCGAATTCTCTTCTCGATTTATCGCACCCGACCGAAACACTGCGTCATTACGTTTTTTCGCTCGATTTCGTAAATTCGGTCGTGCCCAAACACCAAATTGATTACTGTATGTACATGTGGCCTCGCGTGAAGCCGTCTGATTGAATCTATGTGCTCCTTTTGTGTCTGAGAATAAAAAGAGTTCTGTATTGTCTGCTATTTGTCTTTTATTACAAAAGTATTCTGAAAATGTTGGCCCGCTTGTTGAGCATAAGGTTCGAAATTGAATAACAATGTGACTCGTAATATATAATCGTCCCCTATACACTTAATATATATTTGTATGGATAATAAGTACAAAGTCAGATTGTAACTGTCCTATACCTACATGGCTATAGAACAGTTACGATTAAGTATTAGGCATAAATACACTATGAAAAGTAATAGAATTATTTCAGGGTTGGAAACTAAATGCGTTTTACCACCAACATTTTATATCTGCTGAGTGAAAACTACCTGCAAATCAAAGTTTAGAATTTTATGGATTCGGGGCACATTCGGAATACCACCATCCAATTTAAATCAGTTCATAAACTATGAACCATATTATTAAAATTTGAAGTGTATTTTATGTGAGTTTCAAAGTTAATATGAGCATAAACGAGGTAGCCTAGTAAAATGAGAATGGTATTTGGCGATTGGCCCAAAGTGTGCAGAACAAAGGTAGTCACTTCCTAGTTTCAATGGCAAATTAATATTCCATCTTTATCGTTTCACTACTCAATTTAAAAATTAATTCAATTTCTTACTTATACCCTATCCTTCTCTTTTTATTATCTATATATTTTATTAATCTGATAAGCACGTTACTACGTTCTATAGGTTACTAAGTTTTCCATAAATAAAGTTCTCAATAGTCCCACGTCCCCTGAAATTATGCCCACACGAATAAATAATAATGCAGTATTTAATTATGAATGCAAAACCCCAAAATTTTGGATACACCGATTAGAAATAAAAGCAAACAGTTAAACTTCGCTTAATACAAACTTCAAAAAACTATCCCATTAGAATGTTTATAAAGCGTAATTATTCGGGATCCATTATCAATTCTAACACGTCGGTAAACAGTTTGCATTATTAAACAGATGTTTAGACTTCATACATGAATTAATGTGCGGATAGATAAGCCTCTATAAATATAAACATGTCACTTGTAATCCCTAAAATGGTTGGGATGCGAACAGTGTATTCCGTATTAGGTAAATGCGATAACACGAGGATGTTACTAAGCAAATCTATCCGTTGAATGAATGTTTCAACGATCAATTTAGCTTCGATTGACGGATCAGGTATCAGGTATCGAATCGAATAGAACGTGGTGGCCCAGAGGTTAACACACCCGCTTATCATACATGAAGGTGCGGGTTCCAAACGATGACAAGTACCAATGTAACTTTTGCCGAGTCATATGTTGGTACTTTCTAAGGTTATAAAGACACCACTGACAAACGGTAAAGGCAAACATCGTGAAGAAACCTAGGCTTATAATTTGTAATTATAAGTTTGTAATCGTCAATCCGCAATGAGCAAGCGTGATGATTAATGCTCAAACCTTCTCCATGTGATCAGGCCTTTGGTCAGCAGTGGCCACTTATAGGCTGTTGATGATGATGATGACGGATCAGTGTATTTTTTTATTTTAGTTGACATGTTGTTGTACAGTTGACTACTATACCTAGATACAATTAAGAAAATTAACACGTCGTAAAAGAACATTTATTTGTTTCATTTACGTCAAAATGACTATAATGTCCCTAATATAAATTAAAATTACAGTTCATGGTTTTGAGGGTGCATAATCAATGCGTATATATGAACCAAGTATATCGAATAAACTCATCTTATCGGACTATCGAAAGCATCCACCAACGATTGATCGTTGTCCTTTATTTTAATTGCATTCTTCCTTTAGTGGTCCCAAGAGTGATGTACTGTGAAGTACTGTTTTGAGCCACTATTCCAAATTCAGCAAAATATTATAGAGGTTTTTAGATTACTTAGTACTACAAACAGATATTTCGTTTCTACATTTTAAATAGTAGATCTACAAATACCTGTTAGTATCACTAAACATTGGTTTCGAAAGGGTAGGTACACACGGCTACACATCGAGCTTTACATAACCAGTATAAACTGAACGTTAAATGTGCAGAAAGATGATGCGACGCGATACCAGGACAAACTGGTTTTGTATAGATTGATGTGTGGCCGTGTGTACGTTTGTGTTGAATGTCGCTGTTTAGAGAGTCGGGTAACTTGTAGTCTTAACTTCATAAAAACTAGATTTAATCTTTTTATAAACCCAGCTTTATTGTTCCAAAAATATACAATTTTTAGATCAAAGTCTAACCAACCAATTTTGTGGACCACGTAACCGATTTTCGTTCATCGGCATATTTTAACTTTTCACACGAAAAACTACTCTCCTATTACGAATAATGAAGTTAAATGTATATTAAACTTTATTTATCTTTTAAATATATTTCACTACTAAAACTTTGTCGAAGAACAATAGACATTTACTCATACCTGTTCATATAAAATTTGACCACATACATTTATTGACCTATTTGTCGTTTAAACTCGTTATTTGAAATGTAACTATAAGCTTTACTGAATAAGGTTTTTTTTTCACAGCTGATAACGGAGATCAACGTGCAGTTGGCGTTGTTTCGCGACCTCCTAATCCACATCGGTCAACCACACGACTGCCCGGAGCTACGCGAGCGCGTGCGTCGACTGCGCCGCGCATGCGTAGAAGCCACTAAGACTACAAGCCAACTAGTTTTACCGAATTGTAAAAAGTAAGTACAATTTCATTTTATCTTTATCTATCTTATGGGAATACTAGTATTGAAATCATAGTTTATCTTATCATTGGCCAATTTGCTATTTTAAACTGTCTTAAATTTTATATAGTTTTGGAATCTTGTTGTTCCTATCAGCTTGTTATATTCCATCCAGATCGCACTTACCACAATAGAGGACAACTATTACTGTCTCCAACTAAAAATGAAATCAATGTGAAAAAGTTCAGTAAGGTGTCCCATGACGTAGTAAATAACAAGAACAGCTTTTCTTACCCTAATTCCTTAAGGAATAAATCCTTATGAAGAATGAAGGGCTAAACGCTCCTTCTGTCGACTAACTCCCCATGGTGTTCCTATGTTACCCTAACTTGTAGGTACAGACTCACTCACGCATGCTGCTCACCCTTCTCAAATACCCCGCCATGAATATCAACGGGTCCCTTGCGAACCCCATCACAGTCTCTGACGTTAAAAGAGGCTATAGGTACTGTGAGATATCTCAAACGTTATGCCTGTTGCTTCATGAGGTAGCAAAACTGTGTCAGTGGAGACGGAACGGAATTCTTATTATTGGATACGTTATTTTGTATGCAATAGGAGTCAAAATTGACTGTAAGGTTAGCGCAAAGAATTTCTTGTGTGATGCACAAATTCCGTATTCCGGGTCTGGGTGTGATGTGTACCTATGTATTTTTTAATATCCCCATAACACGAGACAATACCAGTAGTAGACAATACCAATACCAGAAGCCACGTTATAAAAAAATACATACTTAGAAGAAAATACACTAAGTAGAATTCCAGGTCTTATTTATTTTTGCGTAATTTTTATGAACATTTTATTTTTGCGTACTTGTTTTTTATTACGAAAAAACCCTTTTTGCCGTAATTATAAATCTAGTTTGACGTAAAGTTACAGTTGTACTGTTTCGCTTAAATAAAAAGCCTGCATAATTGATAAAAGGCTGCCCCCAAACGCTACATACCTGGCTGCATAACACACAAGGGATTGTGAATTATTACGGACCTCGTTTTTATTTACAACCATATCAAAGAAATGAATTTAATTCGATATTTTATAATACGGGCCCAGCACCTTCGGGTAAAAGATACGGTTAAAAGTAACATCAGTACAGCAACTACTTATTCACCATTCGATTGCTTTTATTTATTAAATAACACCTTATCGATAGCTCAAAGGAAAAACCCTTATCAAAAGAACAAAGTACATTTTTATCAACGAACGTAGCATGGGTGTACCCGTCCTTCAATTTCCATTTTCATGAGTTACGATACAAGTATAAAACATAAATATGTCGATAACACCTAGTTCAGCGCTCTACGAGATATGAGCCCGGTCTTATTTCATTGCACACACCGACGATAGGAATCGATCACGTAGAAGATCGATTTGAAAATTCCGATATCTCAATTTGAGAAGGGTTTAACCGTAGTTGTTTATTTATTTGCGACCACTCTGTCTCTGACAGAACGGCTGCTTTAAATCAATATTGAACGCTGGCTTAACCTCGTAATCTTATAACGTAAATATTAAATTACAGAAAATCGAAAAGAAATACAGACAGTGATGCGAGCGACTGAATCGAATCTCCCTCGTGGTTGAGAATCGGTGTCCGCCGTTAGATTAATGCGCCGTCCTAACTAGATAAATGACCGCTCGCTTAACATAAAACAATACACCCTGTATTATTCACTTAAGCGTGTAGAAACAATTTTCACTAAATTTTCTGCTGCGTATGACGTTACAGCCGAAATGTTCTTTAAAATTGTAAGTCTTTTGTTCTTGTGCGTTCAGGGATTTCCTGTAGCGTCACGGTTTTGGTCCCTGGAGCTCTACCGCTCCATTATTCTGCTTTATGCTATACAAAACATTCACCTTAACTGGTAAATTGTGCCTTGATCCTTCTATACAGTAAAGTAGGTACATGACACCCGCCCATTTGCATTTCAAAAGGCGAACCAATTCGCCGTCTCTGATGTCAAATCTCAAAGCGAAGTAATTACGTCACAAAAAGTTTTGCATTTCACTGCAGAGAAGTAAATCTGTGAACCTACAACAGATGTTTTGTTGAGAGATTGATGGAGAAATATTGTGTTCCAGGGAGTTTTTGTTACAATTTAATTTATTTACTGAGCGGTCTAATAAAAGACTCGACCCGATAAAAGTTTTCTATCAATGAGTTTTATTCGTAGAATTCACGAATTAGGCAACGAGTTGAATTTATTTTTACTGTAGCCTCTGTAATATTGAATGATTGGAAATAAATTGTAACTTTGAACTCTTTGAAGTGTCGTGTAACAAAAATCTATTCAATAGGTTTCGTTTCGAAATATTTATTTAGGGATCTTTGTACCTATATTTTAGTTTCACTTTATTCGTTATATTAGGTACGAAATATTTATAGATATTACATTAGGTATTTATAAATAGCCTGTTTATGTACGTATTTTATGTAATAAAGATATAGATACCCTAGATAAAGTACCCGGTTCGACCAGAGTGATACTACGGCCTCAAAGAAAACCAACGTGAAACAACGCTTGCGTTTTGTTTCGTCATGTGAATAAGGTTATATCAGGCCCAATTAGACCCCCCCCCCAATCTCTCCCATCCCCGAATCCCCAACAAATTCCTAACCCCCAAAAGGCCGGTAACGCATTTGTAACGCCCTTTGTGTTTCGGGTGTCCATGTATGGCGCCGATTGCTTACCGTCAGGTGATCCAAATTATATAATATTACCTGCAATCGTAGAAAATTACAAAGCTATCCTATGCTATGCTAGCTATGCTTTATCCTATATAGTTTCAGATAACAGCGGCTATCTTAAGGCTTAAAGATCTCTTAGTCCAGAATTGCATTTTGAAGATAATAAAGCTTTAGATAAGTTTTTGTACTCACTGACTACTGCATTGCAAATTGTACCCACATATTATCTTTTGTATACGTGTCTAAAACTCTGTAGATAATATCATTATTGCCACTGAGGTCAAATTGTATATTTAGCGTTATGTTTTACGTAAATGATAAACATCCGCACAATGTTGTCAATAAGGAATGTATTTATTCAAACTTTTGAATGAACTAGAAACTAACCAAAATGACTCTCTTAATAAGTATATGAATTTGCTGACCAGAACCAAATTTAATAAACCCAATGCATACTTTACACGAACTTATCTGATGTGTTGATCAATATAAAGTAATTAAATGTGAGCATCATTTATCATTTTATGTGAATCTGTGACAGTTATCCTTAAAATAATAAAAAATAATAATATAAAATGCTAAATAGGTACACAAATACTAAAAAGTACCGCGTCCAAGCTAAAAAGACACAAATACTAAAAAGTACCGCGTTCGTGGGCATTTGTATCTCGCGAGTTGAGGAGAAAAGTCCCTCGTGTGCGCCATTCTTTAAGCATTTACGGTTTCAGTCACAAATGCACGGAACTACTTTTATCTTCGCATGAACGACCAAATGTGCACCAGAGGGCGCAGTAAATCATTCGCAGTTCCACAACTGGGACAAAGCACAAATATTAACAAGAAAATACCATAAAACAATAATATTACATATTTAAGTATCTCGGAAGTTATATTATTCCCATGTTTTGTGCAAGAAAGTAAAGAATTCTTCTATATCCAGGTCAACGAGCGACGGGTGCGCGGAACAGCCTCAGCTGGTGCTCCTATACTTCATGGCACAACTCCTGCTTCGGGAGCTCGCTAAGTGCCACCGCCTTGTACAGCTTGTGCCAATGGATATGACCTCGTATTATGGTATGAATTATACAACTTTCTACCTTATTCATAGTAAATTAACAGTTTATAATGTTCACAACTAAAGTAGTTGATAAGTTAAGTGCAGAAAAGTCGGAACGAAAGTTACTTCCCTGAGTTGTTTTATTGTGCACATAAAATTGAAAACGTCGGCCGGACCGAATAGGCTACAAAAATACTCTAAGACACCGCTGAAATATAAATAACCAACAAACACAATGTATCTTCATCTAAGTGTGGTCGAATATAGGTGCACACTATTATTTCCCGTGGGTGTCGTAACAGCTGAATAAAGGATTACTCCTGTATTAGAAGAATGGCCGGCAACAGCCGCTTATGTATTAATAACAAGATTCGAGGGAACCCAATACATTCGACAATTGTGGATATTACCACTATTCTAGTTATTATTGCTACCAAGAAAGATTGCTCCAGTGATAACAGCAATTTAGTAGAAGACATTTGTCACGATGACGATGAAGCTAAGTCTGGGCAATAATTACCGAGCCTGACAGGCCATCTTTTAGTATTATCTCTGAGAAACCTATTTAGACGCCAAAGAAAAGTTTCGTACAGCCTAAGTATTCGGCCATCGCTTAACGACCGAGACAACCATACACAATAGCTTCTCTTAGAAAACTGTTAATTAATTATTCACCAAAGTTAAATTATATTTTTGGGTTGATCCGAGAATTTTGTAATACTGCTCAATGTTATAACTGTTTTAGAACAAAAAAGATATTAGCATATCAAATGAAAACAAAGTTGAAAATATTTCTGAAACACTGTTGGTATTCCCGAATTATTAATTCATTTGTAACAAAAGTTTTTTCATTCGAGATGATTCACAAGAAACGAATTCGTAGAGTATATTAGAAACAGGTGTTTATCTTCCCTCGCTTAGAGGGAACTGAGGGTAATGGGATGGCAGACAATAAGTGATTCACCTGTCGATTAGATTGAACGACCCGTTTCGGCGCCTATTAGAGCTTTGGCTAACCAGTATTGGAAAACCCTGTATCGATATTGGTTTTTAATTCTCCACATTATGTCTGTTGACGTTTCCTGCCACACGTTTGCTTTGGTTTCCTACCTAATTTATCACGATTAGAGTATTTACGAGGCACTTTAAGCTCTTAATTGAAAACAGCGTTTCTTAAGCGGCGTGCCACACTTTCTACCGCTGCCACTAGATTGAACAACAAAAGTACCATTTTAATAGCGTGCCGCCACGAACAATTAGTGGCAATTAATCACTGCTAAAGACACCAGCCGCTATGTTCGACTTGGTCGAATTTCGTGGGAATAATGTTTCTTATTTTCGCCGATGCGAAGTTGCTGTAGTAAGAGTTACAAGATCCAAGATATATACGACACAATACCTGTGAACATTAACAATGGCGCTCGGTCGGTGTAGTGACGGTCTCGATTGTAACTATGTCGGGACTAGTACCTGCAATTGCATTGAAACTCTAGCCAGCTTTACAGACGTTAGTACGTTCATAATCTCTCCTTTCAAAGCCTATTCAGTTGGAATTTAAAGATAATACGGACTTAGGGAATGACGTTTGGATTTCAATTTCATCTTGTTGAATGTTTGTGTATCTACTTAAATACTCACACAAATCTGTCACACGTATAACAGTGTCTTAAAGTTTTAATGAATATGGTCAACATTAATTGATGTACTTATTAAATCATAGTATTAAAGAAACAATATTTATCTTCTTTCAGATGATTATAGTGCCTAATTTCAAATTTCTTGTTAACGAATAACAGTTATGAAAAAGCTAAGTTCATAAAACTTCGCCTTTAGTTTGTATAAATATTACAATACGCTATACCACACTATTGGTTTTCAATCCTAGTATTGGAATTCTATTCCAATTCCAATCAAATTCGTTCGTGTTAGTTCAATATTTGATACTCAAATAACAAATTCAATTTAATATTTAACGGCTGTTACTTTAAGTGGTTTACATTAGTACAATTTTTGGAGTGCTATGCCAAAAACGCGTATATTATTATTTGTGTTTAATTGTAACATGAAAATTTAAATTTAATTTTAATGTGCACAAATATGTAGTTTAACATTTCACTTCAAATTCAAATCGGAATTTCGATTGTCCAATCAAAATAATGATACCCACCCTTTAGCATTCAGTAAGTTCAGCACATTTTATTAATGCGACAATAACAAAAACTAAAACAAATAAAAACTTCAACCCAAACAATACAGCTCATTGCATTTCCGTGAACTTTGATCTTTGCGACAACAGTTACAAGGTTCAAAATGTATTATTTTTCCGCAGAGAATCGAGCCGGTCCGTCCAATTTCGGCAACGTAATAAGTCAGATCCTGCTATGCAAGCAGATCACTCCTGATTTCAACCAGGAGGAGCTCTGCAGCATTGTAAAGGATACGCAGGAGATCACCAGAATAGTTAACGATATACAGGAATATTTGCCACAGCATGAAAATCTCAATCATTTAGGTAAGAATTATTCTTTTTTTTTCTTTCTCAAGAATTTACAGTCTAGAGGTAATATACCTATTGTTATTATCATAGTGGCCATACAATTATACTTCATTCTCCTTGACTGTTCATATCGACAGTGAATGATGTTTTCAAGACAAAATTCGAATGTGAAAATTGACTACATAAAAGTCCCTAATTAACTACTTGTATGCCAATAGAAAATACGTTGTGTCTCGCGTAGATCTGCGTTCGCATACTACGGGTTAATAGATGGGAAATTCTTAATTCACAGAAATGAAACAATAACATTATTTCTACTCAGAGCCATGCCCAAAACCCCATACCCCGTTTGCGTATTCTTAATTGCTCGATCAACAAAGCAGTTCAATTAAAGTTAATGATCGAATGTATTAAGCGAAAATAACGCAGTGCGTAAAAGAAACAAACACAACCATTCGACATATTTATTTAAAATTCATTGCAATATTAATTTGTTATTCCAGTAAAACAGTGCTCTCCTGAATTTAATTTAAAATAATATGCAGATCAAATGTGAAATTACCAGTGCATTACATGGAATGGAGTTCAACCCATTTATGTTGAAATGGTTGTTTTCAATTTCAAACATAATTGTGTGTAAGCAGACGTGTAGCGTAGCCATTGTTCTATCACACCTCTCAAGACAAAGCTTCACTAATGCTGTGTACTAAACAAAACAAGAACGTACTTAGCTAAAAGGATTAAGCTTTCCATCCACGAACGACATTTGTAGAGCGATTTTTAGTCGACAAAAACAGCTAATGAAAAAGTCGCGTCCATTATCTGACCTACAAAAAGTAGGCAAACAGTCTCACAAGCAACGCAACACCTTTACCGTCTTCTCGTTGACATTAAGAACACTCGAAGTTCGAGAAAAACCAAGTACAGGAAAACCAGTATTTTATCGTTCAGCGCACGGCTAAATATCTACGAAATAAAGCTGTTCCCTTAAGCATAATCTATGTAGTTACAGACTATTAACGCCGCGAAAGCCCTTTCCGTGGAAGTTATGCTCACAACTGGGAAATAACACGCCTAGTCATCGCACCGCTAAATGCGAGTTTGTGTTGTGTTTTCCACGAAAAATAATTTCAGGTTACGTTTGTATTCGTCACTCATTATAAGAAATCATGATTAAAGTTTTTGCATAATTGGCACCTTCCAATACTATTCTAACATTGAATAATGGACGTGGTTTGAATGAGTGCTTAATATACGACTAATATTGTGACGAAAAATGTATTTCGAGAGTATTGTTTGTACTGTATAATAGATTCCGTCACCTAATAGGTGACGTCAATAAATACTTAAGTAATTTACACCAGGGTAAAATCTATAACGAACAACAAAGTTTAAGTTATTCCTACACAGAAAATGTATTACGTGACATTCCAAACTACTTGAAACACAACTATAACGATTCATATTTCATAAAGGCAAACAAGCACGAGTAACTGTAGCCGTATTTTTCAGAGAGCAACATCGCGTTGAAAGGTGACGACGTGAACGGACTGTGGAGGAGCAAGCGGAGAGGATCGCTGTACAAAGGCATGGGAGTGCTGTGTTGTGTGTCGCGGCCCAACTACCTCTGAGGGTGACAAGTCTCGCCCACGCGGCGGTTCAGCCCTGAACACACGACCATCACCTCCCCGGTCTGCTAAGAAATTGACTCCAGTGCATGACAGTGAGTGACAGTGACGTACTGTGCAAAATGAATGGGTCCATTACATTGTTTAATTAGTAATCGATTAGAACTGACATGACATGTTACGGTGGGTGATTTAATCGTATTCACATATTGTAGTTCAATTATATCTAAGTAATTCAATAGAATAAGTACTGCATACATTCATGCATAGATTTAATTATTATGAATTGCCTGGAATGGGATCAATTGCGTTTAAGTAGTATGTAGTACAAATAAATAGTATTGTTTTGCACCAAAGGTCATTGCATTGATGGCTGTTTTGGTTTGATTTCCATTTGTATTATTAGGTTTAACTTTTTTACACTGTTACTATCTACAATATGTTTGTTTAAGTTTTTGTTTTGAGGTAGGTTTACTTCATTTATTATGTAGTTTTCCATCCCTCACTACATTATTTATAACTAGAAAACTATCTCGTATGCTGTTAGATATTCAAAATAGCCTAATGTTTTCAGTAAGTACATACTAGTTGGGTCACAGTTTACCATTTCTTTGTCGTACGAATTTGTGACTTATTTTTCTAGTCTATTTTATTCAAAAACGTAGATCTAACGTATCTTTTTCACAGTACATGTAAATAAAATAGAATTTAATTTACTGAGAATGGAACCAAGGGATTCTCTCTCATCTACATTTATTTGTATTTATTATTTGATACTTTTCTAGGTACATACATATACGATATAATACCAAATATTAGCTGATATTAGATACTTGAAGTATTGTAATAAATAATTTTAATAATGGCCTAGTCATTGTTACATGAATTAATCTTGAATATTCTAGTCAATTATTGTAATAGCATGAAATTGCTAAGTTAATTAAATTAAGCATGCTAAACAGAATTAATGATTAAATAATAGATTCATAATGTGATCCTTATCAAGGTCATAAAAGAAATTGTGAAATATTACAATCTGCTTGCGACTTTATACAAAAAAAAACAAAATACCCGACTGCACACTAAAAAAAGAGTAAAACAAGCCCCACAATAATATTGATCAATCAAATGCTAAAAACTAATTATGTAATACCGTTTAAACAATACCTATATTAAAATACACTACAATATGTGTTCGTAATCGATAGTTAAATAAACAGAAACTTATTTTGAATACAAATTTACTGAATATAATTTATAAATGTTGATGGAAAGCATCGCAGGCGGGGACCAACAGAGGGTTATTTATAGTCATTTCGGTTGTGCACCATTTAGCAGAATTTTCGTTGGTGGCGGTCAAGGTGGTCCCCGCCTGCGATGCTTTCCATCAACATTTATAAATTATATTCAGTAAATTTGTATTCAAAATAAGTTTCTGTTTATTTAACTATCGATTACGAACACATATTGTAGTGTATTTTAATATAGGTATTGTTTAAACGGTATTACATAATTAGTTTTTAGCATTTGATTGATCAATATTATTGTGGGGCTTGTTTTACTCTTTTTTTAGTGTGCAGTCGGGTATTTTGTTTTTTTAATAATAATTTTTTTATTTATAACTTTTTAGCTGTTTTTATTTAACGAAAATGTTGTAGATGTAGAAGACTATCGTCAACGACGTGTGCCCTCATGCGTGTGCCCGCAATCGGGCTGTATACTCGAGCATATCCCCCTCCGCACCGCGCCGCGCGCCGCATGCCAGGCCACGCCCTATCTTTTTGCTTGCTAACGCATGAGTTGCTTTGCGTTGACGCAGAATTAACATGTTCCCGTGGGAATTTTGAGAAAAAACGTATCCTATATTAATTACTCCCGTGATTGAAATGAATCTAATGATACCGCATACATATTTTTTTAAAGGGAAATTTAGAAAAAATATTATTATGTCTTTATCCCGTGGGACTTTTAGGATAAAATGTATCCTATGACACTCCCGTAATCAAGACAAATCTAACGATACCTCATACATCAAAATCCATCAAGCCGTTTAGGCTACAGGTGGTCACAAAGGAAAAGACATACATACATACTTACATACACTCGAAAAACATTACCCTCCTTCTTTGGCAGTCGGGTAAAAATAAACAAAAGTAGGTACGTAAATAAAAATGTAATTATATGAATAGTCATGACTCGAAAACGGCGGGATGGATTCGGCGGCCATTTTTGTTGTGTGATTGGATGCCATTTGTAACAACAGCTTCTACCATCCTACATTATTGAAATGTTCACTATTTATCACTGTAATATGGCATGAACTATTACTACGTTGTACGAAGTTATTTACTATGCATATAGTTGTTAATATACTAAACATGTCATGAGCATATAAAGGCCACCACTATCCGCATCACAAAATCCTACCTAACACATTACTTAGAGCCTTGTAGATATACGAAGTTTCTACTTATAAACTGAAAAGCATGTATAAATAATTTTGTATAAAAACAGAGATATATGTTTACCAACTACAAAACAATAATAAAGAAAGCTGTGTATTCACCGTATTTTGTAAAGCCTACACACCTTTAAACTCATGCAGACTAAGTTTTCCACCGTATAACTAATAAGAATTTGATAGCTTGTACACATGTATCTCAAATCATCATTATATTAGTCAAATGTTGCCTAAATATGTCTATATTTAATACATAGTTATTCAATAAGATGTAAAACAATAAGTATGATATATATTACAAGTGGATATCTGTTATATCTACGTAAGTATAGATAATATTTATTTGAATGTAGTGCACTGCAAACACAGGTAACTAATGAATAAATAATTTAAGTACTGTAGAGGTCACACAATTAGGTACACGATATCATTAATTTATCAAAAGGCACCAGAACACGTAGGCAAATTGTATTGTTTTATTACGTTTCTATTTCAAATTGTACTTTAATCGTATAGCCTAACGGTTCAATTTGTGTAACACTATTATATTAATCCACTTGCTAAAGTGAAGACTGTGATATACTCGTAATATAAAATTATTATTATTATAGAAGAAAATAATTATGCATTAGTAAAAACGTAATTGAATTATAAGGCAGTTTTAATTACTTTGTGAACCCAATTTAAATTTTAAGCGTTAATTTCAGATGCATAACTCGTTATAAGGCTTAGCATACTCGTAGTGGCCTGAGCGACCATTTTCGTGTACATACGGACGTATTAACTAAGCTTAGTGCTGCCATCTAATCCTTTAAACTCTTTGAATGGCGCAAAAGCACATTTTTACCACAATACCTGTACAAAACGTATCCACGCGGTATTTTACAGGGAAATGCCAGTGATGCAGTTCTACGACTTCTCTCGTGTTGTTTTTATTGTTTGTTTTTTATTTTTATTTTTCCATAAGTCAAGACACTGCTTTAGGATGTGTTTAGAACAACCATTTGCACATCAAGTATTCGCATAAGTAATTGCTACGTCCGCGAAACTAATTTAAACTCAAAATTGTGCATTTCGCTTTGCACAAGCCAACACAAATTAGCTTTTCTCTTGGCATCAAATTCAGATTAAAATATATATTTTTGTATCTGTACGTTTGTAACTATTAAACTATTTCAACTATCATAGATCTACATACTAATACAACAACTATCGCACACAACACAGAACGATAAATGACGCATTACACAATTCAAAAACACATTCACTTTCAACCATTCAATAGTAGAGCCAACAAACCATAGAAAGAATGTCTACGGGTAATTGAATAAGAAAATAAATGGCGTTGATTTTAAACAGCTACATTGCTAAGGATTGCTTGGAAATAGCACCTCGTTACCCCTGAATACCTACCACTTCGTATTGGCCTCACCAAGATTGACAGGAAATAAACATCTTAACTCACGACCTTTGCACTTGGTTTCGTTGAAAGATATTTCAAACTGAAAATTGAATGTCACTTTCACTTTTTGTATTCTGACCTTGAGTCAGATAGGAATTACTCATCTATTTTTTTGTGTTTGTGTTTATTTTAATGTGTAGGGGCAAGTCCCTTAACGCCGGATACTTTTATTATCATGATAACCCTAGCGATTTGATTTTTAGGGGGGAAGTCTCCCAGTGGCAGACACCTAAGATTTTAGTAAAAATTGAATCGCTCGTGTTGTCAGTTATCGAGATAATACAAGTGTCCGGCGTTAGGTGCCGTCCGACGTAACGGGACTTTCCCCTAAATACGATAAATAAGAAATTCTTTAGTAATTTGACAGAAGTGTTTCCTGAAGGGAAAACCTGAGTGTCTTCAAGTCTCGAGTAGGAATAGGTTACTTATAGGCTGGCGTATTCCATTGCAGGCCACATCATCACTTACCATCAAGCACAATAGTGGCTAAAAACCTACCTATTACCAATAAAAACTCAACGTAATGAATTGATATAAAATAGAATTCTATATTTTCATGTTGCGTTGCGTAACACGCTACACGTAAACCACCACAATGACGTTGCACTGCCTTATAACATTGTACATTTATTTTATTCAAAGCACTGTTGCAAACCAACATATGTAAATGGTACATTACACATGTTCTGCAACAAATCCGGAACATTCCCAATCTGTCCTCCAGCGAATCCAAATCTTCCTCGTTTATATATTATTCCACGTTTCCATACCCGACGTGCATCGTATATTTTCGGAAACATTCGGCGAAATTGCGGTAAGTTCATTAAATTTTATTTGAACAATTCCATCCATTGTTTTGATTAAAAAATGTTTATATTTAACACACGCGTTGGAATTGAAATTGGGAACTGCATTCGAATATTTTGATTACATAAAACTACATTCCACTATTTACCTATTTACCTACATACATACCTACATAATATAGTTTATATTTAATATCTAGTATTTTTCTACTTCCTTATACACAGTTAAATATGTGTTCATCGAATTTGCAGATTGCTTAAAGTTGTTATCGTTACGTCACTGATATAAATAAATATTCATTTAATTAAATCGATTACGTATAAGCGTACATTTTTCATGTCACACTTTCTATTTTGATACCATCCCTACGCATGTATGTAGTATGTATAAAAAATATTTTTGGTTTCACGCCCGTATCGACAATTTCTAATTCAATATGCGTGGTTTATTTATAAAATTCCTATCCACGAATATTACTCGTTTTTAATCCACGAATAATTTTATCCCAATCCTAACTTGGTGCAAAAAATGTATTTAGGTACGTCACTAAAATAACAATATTCTACAGGCATATCAATTCTTTATTTTCTACAAAAACAGATAAGCTGCAATAGAAATTAGTTTATATAATATACGGTACATAAAAATATAATTGATTTAATTCGCTATGGAACTAAATGTATATTTATTCTTCTTTCTCGTATATGTCTCCTCTATGTCTAATGTAAGGTATCGCTGTTCGTCCGCTATTTCGGTTTGACCTTTTCTGATTATACTCATCACCCGCAGAATCCCTTCGAGCATGCAGTCCTTGCAACAAAAAAAAACTTAAAAAATATGTCTAAGAGAAACATATGGTTTCATTCTCATTTAATAAAAATCATTCATAATTTATATTCCACATTTGCATCATAGATCAAAGTGATAGTACATTTTATTCAAATGAGTATGTTTTCTTCGTCTACAAAGAATTTATTAATGATGACTGACATGTGAAAATAAGCAACTTGTTGATGTGAATTCGCAATGTGCAGAATTGTCGAGTGAGTTATATGTAGTTTAAAGCATAAATACGCATCACGTTACTAGGAACGGGGAAAAATGTCTCTATCAGTTTTTATTGATCATCGTACTTACTTTCTTTAGATTGCCTGTTTCTTCTTTGTATGTGATTTTCAGCTTGATGGTTGTTTTTTGATGATGGCGATGATACGGATAGTATCTTCGAAATTCTATATAAAAATAATGTATACAATTAGGGTTAAAATCTTCATTCTGCAGTTTCTGAGCCACTTTTGAAGAAAAATAACAAATCCATCTCAGAAAGCAGAAATAGCAACTATTATAGAAGAAAGCAACAACATTGGAAAAAGTGAAATGGCGATTTTTGTACTTTAAGCAATTATCAAGTATAGACTATGACAGTATTTATTTCGTCAAGTATAGTAGGTACTTACAGATCATTTAACGACTTTTTATTCCCGTTCTTTCGAACTGCTTGCGGATTCAAAACTACAACAACTTTTGAATAATCTTCTAAACGAGTGGGTCTCTTATTTTTATCTCTTCTTTTAAATTTATCCGCTTTCGAAGAAAATGCTACACGATCAGGTTTGATACCATTTGATAAATAGTCTTTACTCTTTTCTTTGATTTCGTCTTCTTTTAACCCTCTAGAAAGCAGTTGCTCAATAACAAGATTTTGAAGAAGATTTCTTTGAAGTATTTCTCGATTATCATTACGACTTTCATAAGTGTTCAGGTCACGATTGGTTTTTTCCTTTCGATAAATACGGTTATTGTTATTCCGAGATTTACTTTTCTTCTGATTAGCCACTGATTCTATTAAATCAATTACTTTTTGTTTTGTCAGTCTTGCGTTGCGATTATCAAACTTGTCACTATCGGTCTTATCATCCAAATAATCAACTAAATCGTCAATTAAACTTTCGGAATCCGAGGCGGCTTTATTTTTTTGCAGCCGATTGGCAGCCTTTGCCAGATTTTCTTGCTTAAAAAGTTCTAAAATGTTATTTATGTCTAAGACTTGAGACGGAGCGCTTTCTACTATTTGTAGTGGTCCAATTACTGCTATCACAGCTGTAAAAATGTAATTACATCTAGAAAAATATTTTAAGTGTGATATACTATGTCAATTAGTTAATTAATATAATATACAACAATATGTGTAACAACTTACCTAGAAAAAATATCATGATACTCGACATAATCAGCAGTGCTCAGTCCAAACCTCAGGAAAAAATACATTTGAATTGTTATCAAACAAGTGGACTACCTATGTATAAATTTACACGGCAATTTCCAATTTTCATTACCTCTTATCGCGTTCGGAATCACATATTTATGAAATCCGTAGCACTTTGGTAGGAACACGCGATCGACATAATCCTCAATGTTACCCCTGAATAGTTATTGATAATAATCTAAACGCTTTACTGAATCCATAAAGCATTAAGAAGATTTATTCGTGAGAGCGGGCCTCGTTTTGTTGACTTGGTATTCGGTGAGTCCGGTGCTCTCGTACAGTTAAATAATTTTCTTTCATCTCACGGAACTGTCTGCATTGCAGACATTTTATTTTAAATAAGACAAACTATATTGTTCACTCGAGAACAGCACTAAATAAAAGTTATGTGCTTGAGTGAGTTGGTACGAATTAAAATTCAAGAGAAGATTGCCGAGCGTGCATCTAAAATGGCCGACTCAAGCTATGAAATGTGTTTTAGTTTTCATTTCTTTTAGGATTACAAAAGAATAAGAACGTGCCGAATAATTTATTCTTCCTAAGAGTATCGTGTATTGTCAGTCGTAAATGTAACGTTATAAGATTTAGAGGGATCGTATTTTGACGTACGGGTACTTTGTTAAAGTTTCGTATGCAAAGTAAAACAAGGGAAAGGAGCGAAGCGTGGCGCCTTGCGTGTTTGTATAATGGGTTTTAGGTAATTTGACCTAACGGGCCTTTGGCATGGAAAACTTGGTTAAAATTAATTATACATTCGAATATTACGTATACGTCTTGGTGTAAAAGTATGACGAATATATTGTAATAATATATTAATTTTCTTGTGCCAATGAAAGTTCAAGAAACTTACAATCAAATAATGTAAAAATTTTATCAGAACAATACATTAAATCTTCATCATAATTTGAGGTCTACTAAACATGTTTTTATAACAACTATCGTGAGAAATACTAAATTAGGCTGCAAAAAAATGCTGCTAAATTAGACAACAGTAGGCTGCGCGACATCGCCGCGACCGCGTTCGCTACTCATGAGGAAGAACCCCTCTGTGGTTTGAAACTAGTAGAGCTTTTCTCAGTATATTCACGTGAGTAACCCGCGATTTTTAGTTAATTTAGTCTGCTAAACATATTCAAGCTTGGGTCAAAAGTCTCAAGTTTGTACCAAAATTTTTCGGATAAGTCACTAATTGGCTTGTTCTTGAGCGAGTCACTTAAGCGACCAGTAGAATACCAGATCAAGGCCCTGTCTTGCACATGCTGTTCTGGTCTCATTTCACCGCAGACTTGAGGCAGGAATATATACCCATTAGTATTTATAAACTAAATCTGTACGTGTCAATTTCTTGTGTGAGTTTTAGCGTGTAAAATAAAGATTTTTTTTTCTTCCTAATTTTTTCCAAACTACGTACAATTTATGGCTTTTTTTGGGCCAGATACTGTGACAATATTGTATTTCAAATACTTCCTTTGTTAAACCCAATTAAGTTGAAATCCCAGAGTTCACTAACCTTTATACTAATTTCATTACTTTGCTTAGGTAAAAGAAACACTGTTCTGTAAAGAAACCCTTCTAAAGTTATAATAAGAAAGTTTAAACTTTTGATAAAAATTTTAATTGGCTTAATTTTAGGGAAATTTAGTTTCAAATGTTAATTATGGAAATAATAATGTATATTTCCAACAATTATTAATAAAGAGATATACAGAAATAAAATAATTAAGAAAGAAATAAGTCAGTCTCGATGTGTACGAGATATAAATATCAATTTATTGATTTTGAATAATGAAATAAAAAAAATGTGAGTGAGTGATAGCGAGCTCCCAGATTTCTAATGAAGGAGCATCAGCATAACTGGACAGGCTGTTAAGAATAAGTCTATCAAGCACCGTTCAAGGTAAGGGTTTTATTTAACAGCAAATTTATAACATAACAATTAACGACTGAAGCTTGACTAGAAAGAAGAAGACTGCACGGTAGGCGCGGGGCTTGGGCAACTGGCTGCCGCACAACGTGTCGCGGGTTCGATTCCCGCACTCTTTGTATGATCCACAGATTATTGTTCCGGGTCTGGGTGTCATGTGTATGTAAACTTGTATGTTTTTAAACGTACCCACGACACAGGAGACAATCCTAATGTGAAGCAAAGTTATTTAAAAAAAACTAAAAACGAATAGAACAACACTACTGATGCCATAAAAACACAATATAAAATGCCATTATTTACTTTTCAATTTGAATAACATCATTTTCAACCTTGTAATAAGCGTCAATAAAACATAAAAGAGAATGAAACAAACTATTCGAAACTACAGATTTGATGTGGGAAACTGGCCACTATTGGATAACTTTGTGGCAAACTAAGCAGGTGCAAAACAAATGGATATCGGCCATATTTCACTTCGCAAACCACAATGGCTTCAACGATACAACCAAAAAGCCACAGAAAAGTTTCGCAGTGGAACATCTAGTTACAAAATAAACAGGCTCGTGTTAAACAAAGTCATTATAGAGGATTGCTTGCCAACTACGTAACCTTAGCGTAGAGGCAGAACGTGAATGTATTTAGTAATGTAACATTTATTTTTCTACTGGTATAGTTTAATTTCAAACAACTAGGATTAATCCTTGAACTCAGAGATTGTTCATACATTTATCAATAAACAGATATTTAAGCATATAAAATACACAAATATTACATAGTATATACATACATAACATCACGCCTTTTAATCCCGAAGGCATTACGGCATTTAATGCCAGTGTACAATTCAAAACCCACTTTTCACTATTTATGTAATGCGTTTCATGTAGAAGGGGGCCTATTGCTATATACCGAGCACAACTCCTGACTACGTGCTACTACTGAGAATCTTTAGAAACCTAGTAATACTTTGCCCGACCCGTCGAACCCGAGACCCTTTGCCCGGCAGACGCACTTGCAACCACTCAGCCAACAAAACAGTCATATATTACATAGTCTTCTAATATTTATAGTTTTATATATTATATTTATATATTTTTATATATTATATATACATAGTCTTCTAATATATATGTATAGTTTTTTTTATTCATCTCTATTTAGTCATTCTTTGTCTCATCTACTGCAATAGCTACATAATGAGATTTTTTTATGGCATAAGCCGGTAAACGAGCAGTCGGATCACCTGATGGTAAGTAATCGGCGTCGCCCATGTACACCTGGAACACCAGAGGCGTTACAAGTGCGTTACCGGCCTTTTGGAGATTAGGAGTTTGAGGATCGTTGGGGATTCAGGAATTGGGGAGATTGGGGAAGGGGAGGGTAATTGGGCCTCCGGTAACCGCACTCACACGACGAAATACAACGCAAGCGTTGCTTCACGATTAACAAAAAATAAGTTAAATTATCCGTCAGTTAAACTAAGACAAACTCAATAAGACATTGTGAAACAAGCCCCTGATATAAAGCATGTTATGTTTATGTCTTTCCGCCCCCGAAATGACAGTAACAAAATAATAAGTAAGCGCAACTTAAAATTGAGTTTTGTTCGAGTATTAAATATTAAGACAGTTCTGACAAGTTCACTAAGGGCTACCTTAATTAGTTTATGAGTACGATTAAGTAAGTGTATTTATTTTCAAATTCATTGTAACAACGTAGAATTCATTATTTGTTGCTATACAAGCGACTTTGCCTAACTAATTTATGTGCCAATGTAAGTAGGCACTAAGGCCTTAGTAATAGATAGTTTTAAGTTAAAAGTAATCGAAACCAGACTGCATTCGGCGCTCTGATTGGTTGGTTCATTGGAGCCGGCCAATCAGAGCGCCGAATGCTTACTCGTTTCGATTACTTTTAACTTAAAAAAAACTCGTACTAAGCCCTCTGATACTGGAAATAAAAGTGGCCATAAATAATTTCTAACAACCTTAATGTCGTGGTGGCAGTCGCGGAGAACCTAACGGGTAACCGAGGCTCCGGCTCGACGTGCAGGAAAAGGAACGGGGTGGTTTTTAGTCAGTAAGAGTCTGACACTCCCTTCCGCCTCACCCAGGCGGGAGCAGTCATTCGATGATTTTCCCCCCTTGAAAAAAAAATGTCGCGGTGGCCCGGAGGTTTAAGAGCATGAGGGTGCGGGTTCGAAACCTACCAACACCAAGTACCAATGTGACCTTTTCCGAGTTATATATACTTTCTGAGATTATTTCGACATCACTGACAATCGGTGAAGGAAAACATACTGAGGAAACCTGGGCTTTATAATTTCTAATTATAAGTTTGAAATCGCCAACCCACAATGAGCAAGCGTGGTGGTTAATGCTTAAAGGCTTTGCTCAGTAGTGGGCATTTATAGGCTGTTGATGATGATGATGAACCTTAATATTCTATAGCCATATTCGTACACAAAAGTAATAGGTACCTTGATATACAATAATGATGCAATCTATCTTACGACTGCCTCGTTGATCGAGTGTTCGCAAGTGCGACTGCGGGGCAAGGGGTCTCGGGTCGATTTCCGAGTCAAGAAAAGTATTACTGGGTTTTTAAAAAAAATCTCAATAGTAGCACGGAGTCTGGAAATGTACCTGGTATATGGCAATATGTTCATTTCCTATTACATGAGACTCATAAAGTAAATAGTGAAAAGTGGATGTTATTGTACAAATAGTGAAAAGTGGATGTGATGTACATTGTACAGTTGCATTTAAGTGACGTAATGTGCACTTCTGCCTACCCCTTCGAGGATAAAAGGCCTGATGTTATGTTGTTGTTGATGCAATCAATTTTGCATATTCCTATGGCTCTTCATTATATCGAGATTGCTTTTTGCGAATTATTCTCAATCTATCATTATGACTTCCCAAGGATCAGATTTCTTACCCATAAATTAAAATAATGATAAAATTACGCAGATTTTATTTCAATGTAACATTGATTTGCGTTGCAAGTAGAAGTTATTCACCATCCTTCTCATAAATGACTTTATTTTAGACTTAGGTACAGGTCAGCGATAAATACTAGTAACCAGTATTTCGTCTGAACTCCCTGTTTTGATAATATCTTCGAGCACGGTCTGAGAAAGGAAGAAAGGAAGCAACATATCATTAATCAGTTGACATCAATCACACATATCATCATATTTTTTCCAACCTATAGTAACACAGAGAGATTTACATATTAACACTGGTAACACTCCCTTTTCACCATTTATAAGTTTCACATAACTACTTACAAATTACAACGGTAGCAAACATTTTACAAATATCAAAACAACTTTACCCCCATCTAAGATTTCGAAGCCAACAGAATCGCTGATATTTAACCATGTTCTCAAAGGAAACAAAACTTAATAACTACAACACCAATCGTTTACATTTGAATTCATTACGGAACGCCTATTAGGTTCCATTGCCTTTAGCCAAACGCCACTTTAGCGTTTGTCTATAGAGAGTAGAAAACTTAATGTATGGGGATGACACTGACAAGTGTCAAAATTTACGTCAATTCCATATTATAATTTGGTTTTCTATTCTACATGTAGACAAGCGCTAAATTGCATTTGGCTACAGCTTCATGTTCGACAAATACCTACGTCATCGAAAAGATACTGTTTAAATTAAGAATTTCTAAAGAATTAGGTAAATCTATTCAGATATTTTTATTCCATCGTAACTAATGTCATACTCACTGGCCATGGCTTGTCTGAATCTTCTTTGGGGCATTTCCTCTTTGACAAGAAAACCTTTATAGCGACGAGGCTTTCGTTTCCCTTGATTATCTTTTTTTGACGTTAAAGAAGACAAAGAGAGTATTTTTGAAACCCTGAATATAAAATTCACGTTAATATTTTTTCCGACAAATCTAAATATAATTTTAAACATTAAAAGTTATCTTAATATTATTAATAGGTATTATGCAAAGATGATATGAACTCACAATATAAATCTTGTTTGTTATATATCTGATTTTATATTTTACGTAGGCAAGTATACCTATCCCTACCGTCTGACGAACTGTAAACTTTATTGCAAGTGTTGCTACTAATAATCGTATAAAAAATACGTCGCCATTAAACTACATTACATACTTTTAAAACAGCATGTTATTGAGTATTAACTACAGCGGTGCAACATTGTCATATCTCTGTTATAAACATAAGAACTTACAGTTCATTAAATGCATTCTTATTGTCACTCCTTTCAACTGCTTGTGGATTCAAAACTACATATATTTTCGAATAATCTTCTAATCCGGTGACGTCATTATCATTTCTAGTACTAACTTCATTGACCGAGATGGCCGGTAGCAAGCGACTAGGTTTGATTCTTGGTTTCGTTTTAACTTCTTTATTCACACCCTGAGATAAGAATTTCGCTAATAACTGCATTTGTATATTATTATTAAACGCATCAGTAAGTTTATCATTTTGAGTTAACTGATTTCTATCTAACTTTTCTTCGCGATATGTATTACGGTCATTATCTTGAACCACATTATTGTTTTCTTTAGCAACTTTTTCTATTAAATCAATTATTCTTTCTTTTTCTAACATTTCATCTCGGTTATTAACAGCTTTATCTATTTCAGTAAAATATTCGTCTGAATCGTCATCAGTATCTGTAGTGGAGTCAGAAGATTGTTTAAGCTGTTGTATAAAGTTGAAAACTGTATTCAAGTCCACGGCTTTATTATTTGTGCTTCCTACTGTACTTAATGGTCCAATCATCGATATTGTAACTGCAAAACAAAATAATATGACGTATAAAATCAATTAAGACAGATATTTGAATGATTAGTAACACACAAACCTACTTACCTATAAATAATATTACAAGGTTCGACATTATCAGCGGTCCTCAGTCGAAAACCACAAGAAAAATGCAATTGAATTGTTATCAAACATTTGAACTACATAAAATCCGACAATTTTATATTTTCAATTCTTTTTATCAAACTGAGATTTATATTATACAGATTTATAAAATGCATAGCAATCCAATAAATGCATCACTTCAGAACAATGTTGTTAATATCGTCATAATGGTTAGTTTAATTCATAAAGCATTTTAAATAATACATCCAACAGCATTTTGTCTGCTTGATATATTAAGGTGAGTCTTGATATTAAGGTTTTGCAGAGGCTCGTATAAACTTAAATTAGTTTCTTTCACAGTATTGTGTTCGTTGTCATGAAATTCTATTACATTCAAGAGAACATTTCATATCTCTTACTAGAACATTCTGTGATAAAGGTCACGTTCTTTAGTGAGTTGTGAATTAATTTCAAGGGAAGACTGCTCAGAAAATGTCAAAATGTGAACAAGTATTCTTCTCCACATATGTATGCTTTGAGCCACGGCGAATCGGCAGTTTTCGGTATCAACACATTTGACCGAATATACTAAATTTAAAATTATTCGCTTTGTAGCCATTGTTGCAACATAACAAGTAGTGTTTTCACTTACAAATTGTTTAAGATTTCATGCACAAACCATGAGAATATTGAGTTTTCTAAGAAAAACGTTTACGTGTTTCATTGTGAAATTGAAATGTTCAACCTGACATCATTTTCGCCAAAGGTACGTTTATGTAATTGTCGTAAAAATTACGACTGTAACATAAAAACAAAGGAGACAGTTCGTAAATATTTTTATTGCAGAACTAATGATTACATTTACTACTAAACAATTTCATGACCTATTGTTGTACAGCTGTAGTTACGGGTTTTTTCATGCTACAGTCACCTTTATTTGTGTTAAATTGTGGGCAAGGAACTGTATTCAGGCTAAACTTTGCCCGCTTTCAGTTCATCATCACGCCTTTCTTCCCCGAACGGGTAGGCAGAGGTGCACATAATGCACCTAATGCCACTGTACAATGTAACACCCAGTTTTTACTGTTTATGTTATGAGTTCCATGTAATAGGGGGTGAGCTTATTGCCATATACTGGGTAGAATTCCAGACTCCGTACTACTACTGGGATTTTTAAAAAACCCAGTTATACTTTGCCCGACCCGGGAATCGAACCCAAGAGCTCTTGCCCGTCAGTCGCACTCGCGACCACTCGACCAATGAGGCAGTCAGTATCTTTTAATGTATCCTCAATCCCTGTGCTCAATCCTGTAGTTACATCTTATACAATTGAAAAGAACAAATTATACTTAGATAGGAAGTTGACTATGATGTATGTGTTTAAGAGATTTTTTAATAATTTACTCTCCAATTAGGTAATTCCAGTAATTCCTGTTCATATCTTCACAACAAATTGTCACTAGGATTTTCAATAAAACATGTTATAGACAATAAAGTTTAGAAAACGAAAATAGTTGATAAATTTTAATTTTTTAACAAACAAAGGAGTAATTCATTCAAAATTATTGACAAATGACCCTTTTGTAAGGTTGAAAATGAAAGTAAATTCTTACTTGTTAATAAAGAGACTGTCCTGTGTAACCAAATATAGCTGTTGTAATGCAATACCTACTCCTCTTTAGAGAGGCAAATAATTAAATGAAACATGGTATTTCTTTTATAAAGGAATTGAATTCCAGAAAAAATACCTTTTATAAACGTTAAAAAGGTGTATTTTAATGTATTTTGTTTTTGAGGGTTGGTTTGTCACTTTTATACTTCAGTAAATAAGACTTATCGCACTTTATTTACGGTATTTACCAGAAGTCTACAATCTACCAAACATAGTAATTTATAATTACTCTATACTTCCTGTTGCTACGTGTTCTAGAGTGGGGACCGCGTCTAGGCAAACGTAATGTAAGGCACCCTCCAGCTAGGTGGAGTAACGTGACGACATCGCAAGGTGGCTGGCAGCGGTTGGATGAGAAGAGCTGAAGACCGAGCTCAGTGGCATGCCATTGGAGAGGCCTATGTCCAGCAGTGGACGAACACAGTCTGATAATGATGATAATGATACTTCCTGATTGATATAACAAACTATCCTTCTTCATACTGGATATCCTAGTATTTGTACCTCTAGTATCCAAATGGATACTTTGTCAAATGTGACATCATGTTTGTAAGGTAATTTGTTTTTTTTTATGGGATACGCCGGGTAAACTGGAATTAGCCCGTGAACGAGCAGACGGATCACCTGATCTGATGGTAAGCAAACGGCGTCGCCCATGTAAGTACAACTGAAACACCAAAGGCGTTACAAATGCGTTACCTGCCTTTTGTTCTGCCGCGTGATATCTGCAACCAGTCATTATGAGTTCTATCAGTTCTGTTAGACTTTGAGAAAAAAAAACACTCTATGCGTATTATATTTTTTAATTTAGTTAGAAATCTTTGTACACGTTAAAATAATCTTTTGTTTTAACCAAATCACCTTTAAAATAGGCTTTCGTGTTCACGTGACCTAAGTCTACTTAGAGTCTATTAAACCGTAGCTCTCAAATCTCAGGATCAAACTATTACAGGCTCTTTTTACATTATAAACGTAATCCATTATTATAGAGCTTTTAGCAGTGACAGCTCAAAGGCCTCCAATAATAAAATATTATAAACCATTAGTTTTACACACGACTTTTATAGAAAATAAGGTATTGAATTTATTAAACTGGTTTGGAAAAATACAGTACCTACTTATACTTATAGCAAGTATTCTATTCATTATAGAATGGACAGAATACTTGCTATAATTAAAAATCTCAATAATCACAAGCAAATAAGTACAGTTCTATCAACGAGGTATCTTTATTCTTTTAAAATGAAACATTCAGAAATAATGTATTTAGGTAATGATAATAAGATTGGAAAGTCCAGCAACATTATCACACACACACACAAGTTGTGTCCAACGTCAATATTATTGTAATACATCAAAATGTGTTAATCTATCGTCGATCTATGATTTCAAATAATTCAACAATAGAAGTTATGATAGTCAACCCTAATGGGTACACACACACAACCACACATCAAACTTTACAGATCCAGTATAAACTGACCGTTGTATATGCGGAGAGATCATACAAAGGCAGACCAAGATATACTGAATTTGTATAGCTCGATTTGTTATCATATGTACACCCAAATGGTTTAATAGTGTTTCACACTTATTGTATTTTGGGACCATTAGGTCTCTGTCAAGGATTTTACCATTAGTAAAAGTGTATTAACGCGGAACAATTTTCTAAAATCATACATTACGTATTTGATTTGGAAAGTACATAACATAACCTAGTACATAGAAAGTACATAACCTATGTACCTCATGCTTATAATGTGTTGTCTCTTGTAATATTGTCTGTATGGTGTGGGTACATGAAATGATAAATAAATAACATGAGGTGCACATCATGCCACTGTACAATGTAACACGCAATTTTTCACTATTTACGTTACGAGTCCCATGTAATAGGAGGTGAGCCTATTGCAATATACCGGACACAATTCCAGACTCCGTGCTACTACTGAGAATTTTTTAATAACCTAGTATAACTTTGCCCGATCCGGGAATCGAGCCTGAAAACCGACTGCATTTATCGGTTAAGATGGAATCTATAAATATTTAATTTGTTAAGTAAATATATTATATTTAACTAGCCGCTAATAGGAACCAATATTAACTAAAAAAATGTTACATACCTACATTTGGTTTACCTCACTGAACTTCGATCATATTGTTCTTATATTTTATGAAAATGACTGAATAATATCCTATTACCTGCTGAAAATTTTGAACATTCCACAACCCGTAAATAAAACACGACACCTTTTTTAACCATTCTGTCAGCCAACGAGGTACTATTTTAATTACATCACTATAAAAGACCATTTAAATACCCTGGTACAACACAGATCAGAGGTTGAGAACCATTTCAAGATAGCTACATACAAATAAACAAACTACGTAAGTATAAGTAATAGATGTGTAGGAGCCAAAAGCAATTGGTTGAATTTTCCATTAGATTCGCGTCACAAGCTGCACTAACGGTGGCAGCGGACCACGACTGACGAAGTGGTCAGCCAACCACGATACCAAACGAGAGACCACTGATTTTATTACGTATCCAGGGAAATAGGTATCTAATATAGGTACAGGTACTGTGCATTGTCTCTTGGTTCCTGCAATGAAGATAATACGAATATACGATAATACGAAACGGGCACCGCCAATTGGGACTGGTCAGGTTCAGACTGTATCATTTTATTATCCTCAAGGTTATTTTGTTTTTCAATCTCTTTGGCTGGATTTAGGTTTTGCATTGTTCTCACACAATCGAATAAAAAATATGTAACTAGAGAATTGTATTGTAAACCTGATTGAATTCTTCTTCATAGGAATGAGCAACTAGCTTGACTTCTAAATTTTTGTTATTGACGTTCAAAAGTGCCATCCTGGTCTAATTGAAATAAATTTGACTTGACTAAACTTTGACTTTGACTTATAAAAACATTTCAGTAATTTCACAACTATTTTGATTGATGTTTTCAGCAATCCATTAATTGAAAAGGACTATTAGTAATCTTTTCCTTTCAATCGATTTAATAAGCACACAGAAAAATGTTGGCTTCTTGTTCACTCTACTTTAACAAAGCTTTTACTTACTCAATCAATTAATATAATTGTGCAAAAGTACAGATAAATAAATACTCGACTAAACACGAAAATTGGCAACGGATGTATCTATTTCTAGTAACGGATGATTAAACTAAGAACCTAAACAAGTATGAATCAAATTCGACCAACAGAAATTCCGTATAGACGAATATCTACATAAAGGAATAAAAAAAAACTGTTTGAAATATTGCACTCTTCATCACAATATTGATTATGAATTCATTACTAGAAATTAATAAACTACACAAAAACTTTTTTTT